TGGCACAGCAGTGTCAGTGATTTCATTGACCATTAGCGAGAGACAAGTCATCTCCAAGAGGCCAGAACCATCCCAAAATACCTTGTTTATGATGCATAAAATTCAAATAGCGGTGTCTCTGTCTGGCTAAAATGTACTAAATACTATCACTAACAATTTGCTGTTCTATAATGGTGTCCAACATCTCCAGCTTGAACTAGCTGCATCATTTCCCCCAGTGACGAGGCTGGCCCACCTAGAGGTGGGATGCAAGAAAAAAATGGTGGAAAATTAACTTACACCTTGAGACCTCCAGTTAAAGTGGATTCCCACAGTCACTCTGAAGAAGTGAGCAGTGACTCACAAACACTTATACCCTGCCACAAACGTTGTCTTTAAGGTGCTACTGAACTCTTGCTTTTTTCTGCTGCTACAGACCGACTAACACTGCTACCCATCTTGATCTGTTATAGTCACAGTCACACACAGCCATTACAAACTGGTGTTTGGCTATCCCTCCTCTACTTTGGTTAAGCACTATTGCTCATCTGATTATTCTCACCTGCTAAAGACCATGTCTCTCTTCTACCTCTTCATTGGCTCTCAATAAAAATGTTACTTCTTACAGTTCTTAATAATTGTCCTTTGGTATTTTCCTGGTTGCCCTCTTCACCTTTCTTATTGTGTGTAACAATGGCCGGTGTATGTGTATTATAGGCCAATGCCACAACTCCTTTTTTCAGAACTCTTCCTTGTGAACCCTGAAATAATATGACTGGCACACTGGGTACTTTGTAATTCTATGCTAATTTAGCACAACATACGAATTTGTTATTGTGCACAAATCTCAGTTTACCTCATTTTAATAAGCAAGATTTTTACTCCTTATGGCTGCAAAGAAGAAAAAAATGAAAGCATATGGGTAATGCTGGATGAAGTCCGAGGCCAGGAGAGTTGAATAACATTCCTAACTAATCACATTATGCAGCTTCGATGCCCTACCAACCTACTTTTCCATTATAGCAGAAACAGAATAAATTATGCAAAACCATTGAATGTAGCCAATGTTGGCTCAGTTTGCATACTTGATACAGGAGTCTGAATTCAGCTTTTTATAGCATGGAATGTTATAAAAATATTTCCGTATCTTAAAATATTTATAGGATTTACCATGATCTTTTTGTGTTAATGAAGCCATAAGCCTAGGTACCGCTTCCTTTTCAGTTGGTATGTCTGGCCTATTGGTTTCAATGACAATGGGTCATCCTTACCATGACATTTTTGGGAGTTTTTTTTAAAAAAATGGTTTGTGTTTATCTTGATGTTTTCTAACGAAATCCTAGTGCGCTCTGATGATGACATCACCATTTCAAGCTGGTAGTGAGAACATGACCAGGTTTCTACCCTATGTTATTGGGCACTGCCATTACGGACACTTGAATAGGAGGCAGGATTGAGACCTTTAAAAAAGTATCTGTCAACCACTCCCCCCTTGCAATTTATACACACAAGCATATGAATTTGAATCAGTTGGGAGTCAGATCATTGGTCTACCGAGATTAGTGTTTTCTACTCTGACTGGCAGTGGTTCTCCAGGGTCTCAGGCAAAGGTCTTTCACGTCACCTGCTATCTGATCCTTTTAACTGGAGATGCTGAGGATCAAAGAAGGAACCTTCTGTGCACAAATCAGATGCTCTACCATTGCCTCATGCCCCCTCTCCAAATCCAGTTCTAGGGACACAAATTACTGGTTAGAAAATCTGCTGGATATGGATACAAAATGGAACGTTTCCCAACAGGATTACTTATGGAATGATCAGCTGTATGACCATGAGGGAATAGATTCAAGATTATATCCTTCAAGCAGGGCACAAAGTCCTCCTGAGTGTTGCTAGTCATACCTTCAGAGAAACAAAGACTGCCTCCTGTGAACTCTTTTGTTTTTTTCAGTCGTTGTGTTTCAATGACTGACAGTACAAAAAGGGAATCTAGGGATAATACTCTAAATGGGGACTTCCTCCCACTGCCACTTATAAAGAAACAAGCTCTCCCTCTCCATAGTTCCCATCATATTAGCACTTCTGGCTGGAGCCTGGAAGCCGAACTCACCTGATCTTGCAACGTAAGGAGACACACACTATTATTGGCATGGAACTGCGAGACATAACGCTGATATTAGGCTGTTGCTTCAACAAGCTGCAGGTGAACAAGAGGCAAATGGCAATTCCTTTTATGTAAAGAAAGCCCTGGTTTCAGTGTGGGAAGCTACTAGCATACCCTTCGTCTCATCCATGCGATCACTGCTGGCCTTTTAATTTCCACTTGTACAGTTGGGCTCATGTCGCTTCTGAGCTACCAAGAGTGCAATGCTATCACTCTAAGCAATAAGGCAGTTCTTCACCCAAGAGACGACCACACTGGCATGCTTCCATCAAATGGCTTGGTGGCTTGCCTGGTACAGCAGCAACTTCGTTTTGGTACCAGGCACTGCAGGTTATTGAAATGAGCAGCCAGGTGTTAAAAGTGCTGTGAAGCACATAAAGGGAAAGTGTCTTCTTTGGCCTTTGTTTATCTCTAGGAAAATTCCAGCCAGATCAGACATTAACTAGACCTTGGCATATCTTATCTTAAACTGCGGTGGGGGTGGGGGTGAAATTGCTACATAACGAAACCTCTGGTTTTTGTTGGTCTTAATAGAACACATTACATGACTTCTGGATTTCTTGGATTTTTCTGTGAACCAACACGGCCCCCTGACCTCAGACCACCTGGGTCCTTCGTGCAATCCTCTGCTTTCATAACCATCTAGCATCTGATGAACCATCAAAAACTGCTCTGTAGGACAAAATAATATGAATATTACTAGGGCCTGACTTGCACCAGAATGCACTGCCTCATTCCATAGTTTCATTCAACTTTGGCCTATCTTGTTTCAAGGCGAATCTTTGAAATGTGTCACCAGTATACACACATACTTCTTCCTCTGCAAACTGTGGACATCAACAACAATATCAAACATATACCAGTGAATTCTTGAGCAAATCCAGATTTGATGTACTGGGCCCAACAGGCTGGGAGGCTGGGCTTGAGCTGGGAATAAGAAGCTTCTGGGACCTTAAAAAGTGATTGCTGTCTTTTGGAACTCACTGGCACCAGAAGAACAAACACTGCAATGGGTGGGGCAGGGCTTTTTTCATAGAAAAAGCCTAGGAGGAACTTATTAGCATAATAGGCCACACCCAGCAACAGAAACCTATTAGTATATTAGGCCACACCCCCATGCCTTCCCTTGACTTGCCTAGGTGCCCCACGTCTACGGGGAACCCGGGCAAGCCAGCCCTTGGAGGGGAGGGGAAGTAGTTTAAACTGCCTTCCCTTGGCTTGCCCGGGTGCCCCACAGCTGCGGGGAACCCAGGCAAGCCGGCCCTTGGAGAGGCTGGGGAAGGCACAGGGAGGCATTTAAATGCTTCCCCGATCCTTCCAGGGGCCCCCCTGGCCTGCCCACCTTGGAGTTGCCGGGGTGTGTGTGTCACTCTCCAGGCCTTCTCTCTGTAGTGGGTGTGGCCAACTCTGAAGCCAGCCGGAACTCCGTTCCTGCCCAAAAATAGCCTTGGGGTGGGGGGTAGAGCTGGTGTGGTGTACTGGTTAGAATGGTGAACTGGGATCTGGAATACCCAAGTTTAAATCCCCACCGAGTCATGAATCTCACTGGATGACCCTGGGTTGTCACTCTCTCCCATCCTCACCTACCTACCTCCCAAGAGTTGTTATGGGGGTGAAATGGTGGAGTATCAGGTACACCTTGAACCCTTTAAAGGAAGGGTGGGCTATAACTGTGTCAGACAGATAGATAGCAACAGATAAGATTACATTAACATTTGTGGACCAGACAGGCTAGAGAAGTGGAGGACATAATTATCTTGCCTGCATAAAGAATAAAGGATGTTATTTTCTTCCTGCTTTCATTATCTGCGCGACAAACCTCTGACACCTCAAATACTAGTCAGAAGAACACAGCCCAAATAGATGGGAGTCTCATAGAGTGATTAATCACGCCTTCAACCCGAGTCCAAACACCCACTTTACTAGTCTGGGGAAGAAGGAAACTGCTAGGCAACTGCAGGAGGAACTCCCCAGTCAGTCATCTTAGAAGAGGGGGGAAGTTTAGAGCCAGGGCCAATAAGTCCTAGGCCCCTACAGCAGAACTGCAAATCTTGAAAGGCCAAAATCCCCAGAAAAGAACCATCACAGCAGTAATCCATACTTATAAAAATCTGTAATAATGAGAACAGTAATAATAAGTGTAAGGAATACAAAGGAGGGAAGGGCAGTATCTTTGGTTTGAAGCTTATCTGACAATTCTGAAAGAGCTGAGATTTGCAAGCAGGGGCTACGCAAGGGTTCTCTCCCCCTTCTTCCTACACCCATCAGAAGGCTCTGGATTATACAGCCCCTTCCCCCCCCCCTCCCCGATCCTTAGATTACACTTCCAAAAATCCAGCCGTAGCCATCATAACAGCCAGCTCTGAGCCTGGAACTAAAGCCAGCTGTGTGCTGTATGTCCCAGAGCTGCTATTTAAAGGTGGCTGCAGCCGTTCCTGTTGCTGAGGCAGTGGGCTACGGTCAACACATGACCCCATGCAGCCGGGAACACCAGTTGACTAGGGCTTCTTCCATGGCGCTCATTTATTATACTCCTTGTGTTACTCCCTGCTTTCCCCTCCCCTGCTGCCACCCACCTCATCGATCTCATTGGCTAGAGCGAATGCCGGAATTGGCTCCCTCCAGCCACAGCCAGTTTTGAACAATCAGAGTGCTGTGACAGACAACGCTGTGTGACCTCACCTCCCAGCCATTTCTGCCTTGCCACAAAGACCTCTCTGTGTGAGTGCTGGGAGAACCGCCTCACTGCAGAGAGACCATGTTGCCCAGAGGCATCCAGCCTGGCAACGCACACAGAGCACTGTGATCCGATACCCCCAGGGTCAGAGGAGATACCAAGCAGCAGACCGGGGGGGGGGGGGACCAGGCAAGGGTTCCTAAACCTATAGGTGTGTGCACTTGTATGTAGCTGAGAGGAAACAATTTAATATATTCCATCTTGCTGGACCGAAAAGGGGGAAAGAGCTCACGGAGTGGTGCAGAAACTGCACCCTCTTCTCTGATGTTAGGGAGAAGGAGTCTGAACCTCCCCACAGACATTCTGCTCATGTGGGTGCTTTGATGCCGGAACAAGACAATCCCCTCCCAAGTGAACAGCCTTTAGGGAATCGTTTTTCAGTAACTGGATCAAGACAAATTGATATTCCTGGTTGTTGCTGGGTTGCTGTTTTTTTAAAATTAATTTGTATAGATCAAATGCATTCCCTGCTACATTCTGGTTTCTGCTAGCAGCCATATTAAATGCCGTGACACAGTCCTTTCCCCGTGGTTGGGATGTCCTCAATAGTGTGCTGTCTGGCATCTGCTTCATCCGTTTTGTTTCTCATCTGAATAGTTTCTTGAGAATTTGATGATTTGACCGTGGAAAAATGCAGACCAGGAAGGGGTTGAAAAAAACAGAGAGCTGTGTGTGAGTATCTCCCAAAATATGCAGAGCCGGAGAAGATGGACTAGAAGTCTGATTCTCAGATTGCTGCTGTGCTAAGGGAACATCTCATCTCTCACACTCATATCCATTCAGTCTTTTCTGGTTGGGCACATCTTGGGGAGACTCAGTTTTCACTGATCCCTTTTGAAAGCACCCCTTTGTGGAAACTGCCTCATCAATAACTGGCCGCCTCAGGGAGAAGGCTTGTTCTAGACTTCTCTTTCCAGACATGTCTCCCCACAAACCTCCACTCTCCGGACTGTATCACCTCATTATCCTTTCTTGAATTGCCCTGGAGGTCAGATTAATGTCCTTTAGGATAGCACAGGCATGTTAAGGCATGACCTGGGGTTGAATCTAACCCATCAAGGCCTGAGAAAAACGGTCTCCTCATTTCACCACAGAACAAGCAGCCTGTGGGTAAGTTGCCCCATCACAGTCGTGCAGGGTCCTGTGTGCAGGGGGCAAAAACGAAAAGATCAGGTACAACGCTGCTCAGGCTTTACTCTTGCTGTAGGAGATCCAGGGCCAGGTGTAAGGAGGTCTCCCTCTGCGAGCTTTTCTAAGAACTGGATTCTTATACCCTCTCAAGCTGACAGGGAGGATTTCTGAATTCTTGTGCTTTCCTTTGAAGCAGGAAAAAATATAACTTGGAACCTGGAATGGATTCAGGGTTACTACTTGCAGAAGACCTGGGTGATATTTCTTCGCCAGAATGCAAAATGAATTGTCCTGGTCTAACCTGGACTTTGATAAATGAAGAAACGGATGAAATACCCAAGAGCTCTTTTTCAGTCCAAACCAGTTCTGATGTTCCAAGGGAAGCAAAAGAGGGGGAACTTCTTGAATGGTGTGATGTCTGTATATCTGACCGGAAAAACAGCCCTGGTGATCTTTTCTTCAAGCAACAGCCATCTCCTGACAGCGAAATGGGTAATGTTGCATGTAGCTGTGTTCACGTCCTGCATTTTTTCCTGATCTTCCTACACCTCAGATTTTTTTCCCTTTCCCCCCTCATTCTTCCCTTCCTATAACGGTGCACCACGGATGCAGAGGGTCCTGCTGGCGGTCCCATTTGCATTTCTTTTATCAAGAATAATTTCTATCAATGTGTGGAGGGGTCATGGCCCACGCTGCAGTGGCAGAGTCAGCCAGCCAATAGGGATAAAGACTCATTAGTGTCTTTAAATGCTGGCTGCAAACCAGAGAGGGGGCTGTAAGGAATCAGCAGCAGGGACTTGACTTCTGGCTCTCCTGCTTTTCTTTGAACCCTTTCTTAAAATGCTCAAGTTGAGGGGGTAGGGAGCAGGACAGAGAAACAAGCTTCTTCCTTCACCTGCCATTCTATACCCACGGGGGGGGGGGACTCCCAAAAAACTTAACCCTGGGAGTTCACCCTCAATGTGCCAACTGTCATTGCTTCTTTTAACTCTCATAGTGGGAGGTCACAACAGAGCATATATGGCTATTCAGACCTTAACTTCATCTTCCTCGTCCTCATCAACATATTCAAAGGAATCACTGTGTCCCTCTCTGGCAATGGTTGCACAGTCTCCTGAGAAATCCTCCTCCTCCTCCTCCTCTTCTTCCTCTGCTCTTTGGTGCCACCCAGCTCTGTGTGCCTGTTGTGCTGCCATGCCTGCCTTCCAGCACCATGTGTTGGAATCTGGGCTTTCCCATGAAGCTTGGCTTCCTGATTCTTCCTGCTCTTGTAGGCTGTGGTATGTGCTTCCTGGGCCATAATGGCAAGCTAGAACCTGGGTGGCATGGTCAAATTCTCTTGCTTCCACGTTGCAGTCCTTCCGGTACCCTTGCCAGTAGGTCTCTTTTTGCTCAGCAGCTCCTGCTCCTGGGTTAGAGCTCTTTCCCCTGGAACAGGGTGACCCTTCCTGGGACAACTCTATGGAATGAGAGTCTCCATTGGTACATACTGAGTGTCCTAGCGGCAAGCTAGCTTCAGAGTGACTCCAAAAGCCTGATGAGACTTTGCTCTCTTCACAATTATTGTGTAGTGACCCTGATCTCCGGGGCAAAGAGGCCTCTGCCCAGGTGCTCTTTTTCAGGTGAAGTGGAGAACTGGCATCACTGCTGTTTGGAGTTTTGCTTTCCTCATTTTCCTCCTCTCCTCTGTCTTTGCTGCTGAGGTCTCCAGGGAAGCTGATGACATGAAGGAGTTCACTCATGAGTGAGGGACCAAGATCAAGGCGGAAAGACAGCAAGGAGTCGGAACGAGCCAGAGCCAATTCATTAGTATAGGAGCTGTCCTGGGTCTTCTCTGAGCGAGGAACACGGGGGATGGTGCAGAATCCAGATTCTAGTCCTGAAAACACAAGGAAACTGATAGTGAGAGAAATGTTTATGCCACAGTGGAAGAACCAAGTGCAAGTTACAGGACAGAACAACGATCCTGCAATGGTCTTATATGAAACATAAAACACATTTATTTATTAAGTTACATTATTTATACTCAGCCTCTTACACTGAGACCCAGGGCAGCTTACACAGTGTAAGTCAATGCAGTCAATAAGATGGGACATCCAATAAGCAATGTAATAGGATCAGGAGTGAAGAAATTAACCTAAGTAAAACACTGGAACAAGCCAAAACAAAGCGTAAGTATTAACATGGCATATTCAATTATGCAGAAATTACATAATAGGATAATATATACAGCAACAGATAGTACGTACTATACACAGTAGCAGGGCTTTTTTTGTAGAAAAAGCCCAGCAGGAACTTATTAGCATAATAGGTCACATCCAACAGCAGAAACTCATTAGCATATTAGGCCATACCCCCATACTTTCCCTTGGCTTGCCAGGGCGCCCTGCGGCTGCAGGGAGCCCAGGCAAGCCCTCCCTTGGAGGGAAGGGAAGGCAGTTTAAACTGCCTTCCCTT